GGAGTGGCATTGCCTCTCTTGAGCTGCGGATTTCGTTCCATGTCTTAGGTAGTAAATGTGCTAAACTTGTTGAGGAATTCCATCCAAGCGACATCAGGTGGTTGTTCAGCTAAGAAGGACCAATCGGTGGCCTGGATGAGGTCGGATAGAACGCTGTGATGCGCTGCGTAACGGATGTAGCGAAAAAGCAGTAAGATCTGACGACTGTGCCTCAAAAAGACTACTCACTTTAGCTGTGTCAATCATATGTTCCCCATTGGTAAACACGATGTTCAGAATGGCCGGTTTGTTCCCCGTTCTGAATCTCGTAGGGATGGTAAGGTAGTTATAAAGTGGCAGGTCAGCGACTAGCCTTTGCAGTTTGGACTTAGATTGCGCATCAAGTGGGTCCAAACCTCTATAGCGTGAAGGTTGATGTCTTCCACAAGGAGAACCTGAATGTCAGACTGTGACAGAATGGTTTTTAGAGCAGAAGGTAGATGGATGTCCATTTTTAGAGTGAAAATGAGAGTAACGTTCCGGATGGCAACTAAACACGTATCTCCCCTTCTTAGGCGCAGGTGGCACAAGTGTCTCAGAAAATAAAATTGCTGGGTTATCAACAAGTTCGAAATATGTGTCACCGTGACGGTATAAAATTACACCACCTACATTAGTAGGTTGATCATTATTTAGGACGGGCATGCTTGGTAGATCGATCCCAGCATCAGTTACGCCGCCATTCAACCATAATTATCATCATTATACACGTTAGCGAGAGGTGGGAAACGCCTCAGCTACTGTGCCGCTATTCAACCAGGTCTCAGTTGTCATGATCAAGTTCACAGACGTCAAGTCTAGAAGTGATTGAAGATCGGACGATTTGCTGGAAAGATCCTAGGCACTGACATGCAAACAGGCGAGCGTTTCGAATGTCTGGCTCATATCTGAGGATGTGGGTGTCAGTGCGAGCTTTTGCCGAGAATTGTGAGGTCGAAAGCTTAATCGCCTCTTTGGTGAAATGCTAATATTGACATTCCACGTTCGCTGATGGAAGGCTCGCAGGACATCCCGGTTTCAGCACTGGGGGATTAGCTGCTTCTTTGGCAATTTGTGATGTCCTTCAATAGTCCGTTTCGAAGATAATATTCACTGGGGTCGCTTTTATCCCCAGTGACTGCCCACCCTCGTTCGACTGGGTGTGCTGTCGAAAACCATTAGGCGTAGCGCTGAGGGGGGCTTGTTACATCATTTGTGTCACGTTTCAAGTACCATTTCAGCCATATGTTTGAACTGGAGCTCAACTGTCAACACTTTCAGGCCATATTCTTTGCAGTTTGATGAGGGTAGTCTTGCGATCGATTTGGCTATCACGTTATCGAGTGAGAGCGCCTCGCAAATGCAGCGCCCCTCCTCCCAGCCATGAGTTTGAACCTCGCGTCCAACGAGGCCTGAAGCTCCGGGAAACCATGAATAAATATCGATTTTTCGTTCGCTATTTGGTGGCAGCTATCTGGTTATGTTTTCTTTGCTGACTCTCACTCCAAGGAAGGTGGGTAAAATTGCAAACGTCACATGAAGCAGTCCGAAGACGGGTGGATAACAGAAGAGCCGCTTATACTTCCTATGCTAATTGTAGCCGGAGCCGCGACTCATCGTAATGAGCCGAGTTTGGGTGCCGTACAGTGCCAACCATGCTATCCAGTTTTTCATTGATTCCGGTGATGGATTGCCTGCTTTTAAGCTACGCCGGCACACGACCAGATGGAATGTAGAGTTATGGCTGGAAGCTCCCGAGGGACTACTCTGCATGGAAGCATGTCCCAAATTGACGGCGCAACGGATGGCCGTATTACTTCACTTTGATCGTTTTTACCATATCCCCCTCTGCCTTGAATCTGTTGTGGCTCTTGTTAGTTCGTTTCTACCTTCCTGTAGTCTTACCAATACCGCCCATTTTGTAGCAACCTGATCATAACGCAAGGTACAAGACTTGTGAAATCAAGGACACATATTACTATAATTGTCCTCTACAGTAGGCATACAATTCGTATTGCAAGTCTGACCCACGGCCTACATCTAAAGTACATTTCGCGTAATCTGTATGTGAATCCCAATAGACAAATTTCTCGTCGCTGAAAGCCAACTGGTTATCAGTGATATTCACTTTATTGGCGATGACGCTTACCTATATTATAGACTAATTCCAACTACTAACGATTGTCTTTGACCCTTAGTCCTCATGATTTTAGCTTATGTGTCTTTACTTTCTACGTATACACTTGCATAATCACCCTGTGTTCGATGTTTTGTGCAATGCCGTAATTCGCTGACTATGGCTTGCTAGTTGTACTTCGAATTGCCGCGAATCGACGTTTACTTATTTATAAGCCTACGAAGTTCCACCTTTCCCGGTCGTTTGGGGGCTTGTCTATGAGGTTCGCGCTAGACTCACGAACGCAGTTTATCAGCGACCCGTGGGCTTGTCCAGTGACTGGCTTGAGAGGGGGCTTGTCTGTGTTTTGGCGGAGTGATGGGCGTACGTGTGGCATTTTTGGCACCCAGTGTGATCGCGTCAATTGCAGGCGCATGTTCCGTTGCGTCGGTATAGCATGCCCTCCAGATTTGCTCTCATGGACCAGGATGGGAGTCACTGAAAATTGGCTGTATGCCCAGTTTCCGGTTAATATCCGCGTACCTACCACCAGGATGTTAACCTTACATATATCTCGGCTGTTTTGTTTAAATGTGTAGCCTTGGTGCCCAAGCACGAATGCGGTTGTTTCCGAACTTTTTTCACCAAGTTTAGTCTCACCGACGGCTAGCTTACCGCATTTCTGCGCCAGAACAGCTATGTGCCTCACGAGTGGGACAGACATATAATCGGTCCAGGTAGGCACCATATATATAGAACAATGTATTCCGGCTTAAACATTTGCACAACCGTAAATGCTCTTTAGCTGCGGCTCGCCGGGCTTCATTCCAGATGGGTCCTCGTTTTGGGCCATGTCTACAAATCGACTGATCGATGGTGATGTAACGGGAAATTTTCGGAAACCAATAAAAGAGCGATAGTTGTCCGAAGATGCAACATCGCTAACCCCAGCGTACGCAAAAGGTTCCCACACAGTAGGTCAGCATATCGCCTGAGGGCACACATTCAAAGCCCAGAACCTAATGTTCCCTGCGGGACACCATGTACCAAGCTCGATTCTTCGTTCGTCATTTGGTGGCAGCCATCCGGTTTCGGTTTTCGTCGCTGACGTTCGCCCCAGCGGACGTCGAGAAAGATGCGGACGCTACATGAGGCAGTCCGAAGACGGGTGGCTGACAAAAGAGCCGCTGACGGTAGCGTTACCCACAGGAGCCGTGGCGCACCGTAATGGGCGAACCAAGGAACATCTACCGAATCCGCTTAACAGTGAACGAGATAGAAGCAATTTAAGTAAAATACGCGATCATCTGATCAGTACTGGACACCGAGTAGACAAAGGTAAAACTCGAAATTGCGTATAGAATATCATCAAAACTAAACTGTCGGTTCATGGTACGGTTACTTGCTACCGCTGAAGCGGCAGGTTTCAGATTGGCAGGTCCGAACCGGTGCATTCAGGGGAGTTCCGTTTAAGCATTAAAACTTCCGTGACCAGCAATCAAACGAGAAGAATAAGATTCTGCCAGACAATAACACGTACCACCAATCACCTGATTAAATGACGCGTGTCAGGAGAATAGTTTAATTAGTTTCCACTCATTGGCTGTTCTGTACACCCCCAAAGATTAGCCTTTGTTAATGTACATTTATGCATTAAGTCCGATGAGGAGTAAAGTGTGCCGCTTTCGTTCCTCCTTGTGATAGAGTTGTACAGATGTACATTTCTAATTGCTTCCACATATAGAATTCAGTATTCACACAATTAAGTCCTACGGTAAGTAATATGCGTTACACAAATGTACCCCAATACCGTAAACACCTGATTGTAGTGCGATGAACAGACGCTGCATAGTCTATTGATCACCCTATGCGCCTGGGTGCGACATACAGGTAACTACTGTCATATGGCATGGTGTGTCTCAAGAGCTGAGTGAACGGACGGATACCATTTATTTACAAGAGGTGTGAGTACAGAGCGTTTCAGGGAGTCTTAGTAATATGATGTGGGGTATTCATTACTAAGTGAATCAAGGTGATATGCTGTTAAGAAGCGTGAAATTTCATAAGGGACGTTAAGTAGTCATCCTGCTCCTAGCATTTTTAAATCACGCTCACACCATACATAGTGGACTAAAACAAGAAGGAACGCCTAGAAAATATGTACTCCGGATGCCCGATGGAGCGTCGCTATCGACCGACCCCCCTTGAACAAAGAGAAACGTGTTTGTTACATGCTCGGAAACATCCGGAGTGATGGTGGTTTAATGAAAGGAAGTCCATCGTTAACCCCTTCGCCAATTAAACTGCGACGCGTAAATAGCTGCTATAGAACACCTATCAGCACAGCTGTTTCCATTGGAAATCCCGCAACCAGTGGTCACTCAGCAGAGACAAATCCCAGAAGCTGCGCGACCGTTAGCTGGTGCGTAAGTTTCGAGCACGTCTAGGTCACTAAGGTATATCTAATCACAGAAGTTAGACTTGTGGGCTGCCAGTGTAAGCAACAAAGACAGCGGGGTGCCGAGGCGCTAAGCGGCCTTTATCGCTATGACTGACAGTTTGCAATCTGATAAGACGACCGAATTTTGTCTTTGATTCATGCTCGTTACAGTGACCAATAGGTAAAATGAAAGCACGATTTAGGACCTAATGATAAAGGTGAAATGCTAATTGCCCAATCCAAATTTGTTTCACATCAAAGCCAAACATACACACAGTCTGGACTAGCGCATATCCAGCACCATTCGGATCTGTTTACTTTACCTTTGTAGTATGGAAACAAATTGATTTCGTGAAAACCATGCTGGATGTTTGCGCTTCCGTGTGGAATAATGTCGTTCCTCCAAAATTTTCCCCAATAATGTAGGCAGCCAATCCTGCGGAGGACAGGTTTATCGCAAACTACCAGCCACAGACCGTTGCGAGAAGCATCTTTTTGAGGTGGTTACAATCAAGTCCACGTGTGAAAATCTCATAGCGAGTGTACACAGCCATCAAGGCTCGAAAGGTAAGCACACATCTACCGACATTGTGGTGAAACAACACCATACACTACATGTAAGAAACTATCTAAAATGCCACCACTTTATTTTTGCAGTATCAAGAAGTTCCAGCATGCGATCCTTTTCTCCTTCACATAACGCTAACTCCGGCAAGATAGTGGAGAGAGCGAATTCGCCGTTATGCAACTTTCCAAGTGAGGATCATGGAAAGGAAAAAAGGTTCGATCATAGCCTCCCCCACATGCGTCGACCGGAAAAACTAAAGCACCAAGAATCTGGGATCCGGTAAGCTATATGCCACAAGCTTGTGCAAACCTAGTGACACCGTATTAAGTGATCTCAGTATCTATGTAGTGTTCACTATCACACTGAAGAACAATGACTGATTAAAATTGGCAGAGATACCAGTAAAGTGGATGGACATACCAACCATCTTACGGCAGCCCCGATTGGCGCATACCGGAAGTGTGTGATGGTAGGCATTGTCGGCTTCTTTGCAATCATTGCTGAGTGCGTGAATAATCCAGAGCTCGCTGTAAAGTTGAGGTTACAACCCATCTTTGTTCAACAGAGTGGATTTTTGAACACAATTTCATGTTGTTTGATGTATATCTTTCAGAGGAAACGAAGATGGTTGGAAAAGCGATAGCTTATCTTCGTTGCGCTTTACGCGGTCGAAAAGCAGCATGAGCAGCCACCTGAGTTCGTATACGAACGACACCACGGAACAAAACCACAATGGTTCATCGAATGGCCACAGCACGGTCGAAAGCATCCGCTCACTGGAGGTAGAAAGTAAACCGCGAGTACTGCTGGAATACGGGGATTTGTAATGTCGTAAATCACCCTATTACTTGGATGAACCTGGATGGGCTTGAACAGGAAGGTGCCATTTGACACGCACTAGCAGTTTGGGGCATAGCCGCGAGCGCTGGCAATTTCGAGATGGACACCGGCATTTAAACTTGACGTCCAATGGTATTTGCACAGCGTATACACTTTGTGGGCAGCACCAGCCATCTCAAAGATAAATCGTGAACCTGACACTGTTATTTCTGTCACATGTACAGTGTTTTGCTACCAAAGAAATGTAAAGTTTATGCGCAGTTGATATTTTCGATTCAAACATTTTATCACCACAAACAGCATCCTTGCGGATGATTTTATTTAGCTTCTTCCGCAGCATCCTATCATGTGCAAAAGGAATTTCGGAAAAGATATTTTACACAAATTTAGGTACAAGACGTCGCGTTTCACTCGCAAGCACCATTCGTACACAGATGCCGTCAAGCTACGGCGCATGGAAGTGGAGGGGAATCAAAAAAGGTTCAGCAACGCAACTGCCAGAGGGCATATGTGCCGCTCGCAAGCGTTCACCAATGATGTTTTATCGTGATTGGGTGGCCGTGACCGTCATCAAGGCCGGGAATGCCTGAAGCTTGCTAACCACGAGCTTTTGTTGCTGATGTGCAAGGTACCCTTTTATTTTCCCCTAAAATGCAGTAAGAAAGGTCAGGTAATTAACACAATAGAAAAAGTCAGGTGCATGACTTATGGATAACCAAGCCACCTGTCGTGCTTTAAAAGTTAAGCAGGCACAACCCAAGAGGTTTTCGATGAAATGAATATTTGAAAGCGAAGCACCATTTCTATGCATAGCTAAAACCACAGCGATCTAACAGAAAATAGAGAGGAAAGCTTTAGGGTGTCAGTGCACGGAATGCGACAATTCTCATTCGCAGCAAAAAGCGAAGCTGTTACTTCAGGTAAACCCGATGCAGCCCCCAAACTGTCGTATCAAGTCGTAGCTTTAGTAACAGCTGGAATGACATCCCAAAGTGATAATGATATTAGTACGCCTTGTTGGTGTTATGGTCGATTTGCTGGGCGAATGAGGGGACTGAAGCCAGTTGTTTTGAAAATCAGTTGGTCTAATGCCGCTTTGAACTCCATCTATCGATGTCGCAGCATGCGTAATCTCTCGTCTTACTTTCTTGCCGATTTTAAGGTTAGTTTACTTATCAATACGTCGCATTCACGTGCGGATGGAAGTAGCCAATTCTTTTAATCAGAGCAACGATCTAGCAGATGGTTCTTTGTGGAACAATTTATTCCCCAGTTCATTCAGACTGCGATTATCGAACCTCCGCCTCCGACAGGTTCTGTTGATTTATGAGCCTCGGATGAATGAATGAATAAATTGTATAGTTCCCCGCGATGTGAAAATTCTCCATCGATGGGACAAATTAAACGAATAAATGGTTCCTCGCCGTTTCATAAAGTTCTTGAACCGAGACTATAATGATTCATAATTCGAATTAATTACATAGAAACGCAGACAGACGATCCTCGAGCTCAGTTTAGTTCCGCTGCGCAACTATAATCCGGGTATCGAAATGCTACGATTCACGTCACCGGAATGAGAATAAATAACAACGGTAAGAAAATGATTTTCAACGCAAACAGAATACAAACAAAATTGAATAAGGATAGAAGTGAGCAAAACCTCAATAAGTTGACCACTCAAAAGACTGGACCAAAAAGGTCAACATATGGAAATACTGTACAGAAACTAAGCGTGCCTTTCGCACCTGGGCAGTTAAGTACAAACTAAATTTCATGTACATCCTGTTTCAAATATATTAAATGAGCTAGTATATAGTGGCAAACACGGCTAAACGGTACAGTTGTATAATGAATGAACACGCAGTAAAGTCTCCTCAAAGTTAAGGCAATTTTTGAAATTGTCAATCTTTAGCTGTCATTTTCACTTAGTACAAACTTAACTGAGCAGGTTAGCTTAGAACTGGTTACTCGACGGTTAGGGCTGGCACTCTTAATTGCGACCTGTGCAACGAGTAGGCATATGTTCCTAAAGGTAGGTGCGATGCGTCACAGTGTACGTAGACGAGTAAGGAAAGGGTTCACAGAAAAACGGTCAATATAGGTCCATGGACGCCTATCTGCGGGTGCACACTGCACGAACTAAACAAACGTACGCGTAAACGCTGAGGGCCTGGACAGACATGGCACGTACATACACAGACAGAGAACATGCTGTATTCTCAAATGTCTGTGTGTCAAGTGAATTGTACATATTGCTAAATCCCGCTACGTAGACATTAGTATCTGAACAAATGAATCGCTTGACGATAGATGCACAGTAAACCTTCAGACAGTTCACAAGTTCGAGAGGTTAAATAAATAGTGACTGTTATAGCCCAATTTATCAACACACAACTTACAGAGGTTGTCAACATACGGAGTACTGACTCCATAGGGTTTAAATGTAGAACGTCCACACTACCAAAAAACGTCAAACTTATAAACGCTTTCAGGATATAGAGGTGGCCGGTTTAGGTTTCACTGCATTCGGAATGGAAAAATAACAACAACAAAACAAAATACCGAAAGCAAGCACACAATTGTAAAACTGTGCCATGTCTGATATAACCTACGCCCAGTGATGTGGACCACCCAGGGGCCACCAATAACGAAGACTCAAAGCACAAGTTTGACCAAGTCCCTCAATCAGTCTCTTCATACCCTTATGACACACCATCGAATAGCCATCGCGCATGGTTGCACAACTTTCCACAGTCAAGGAGTATAATGCAAACCGATGAAGCTTGCAAACGGGCAAAAGGAAGAGATCACTTAGTGAAAGGAAGCGGTTGTGCTTAAGCAAAACACATAGGTGAGGAACAAGCAGGTTTCTTGCTAAAAACCAACGGACGGATCACAGCAATGCTCATCTGATGTTCCCCCCATATATGAGCAATACTCCGCAAACAACGATGGTAAAACACAGCCGAACGCTCAAGGCCTTCGCAATGAACAGCCATGGTTTTGGATCAATAAAGTAAAGCCGGTCTTATCGCAGCGTTTTATATCCCACCATTACCAGCCTAATAGGCCACCATCTCCATGGATGGTTGACCTTCTGGAAAGCCATTCGATCCTTGCTGATGCGTGAAGTGTCTTCCTCGGTAATGTGACCTCCAGAGGTGACACGGTTACTTAGGTAGCGTAAAATGGGGTAACCTTGGGCCAATGTGAAACAGATTACACTTATTTTCCTTATTTTGTGTGTAGTCTCATGTGTAGAAAATTCGTTTTTCATTACTTTGAAATCTGTTTACGATGAACTAGAATATTCCGTCTTGGGTATACTTCTTGTCAAATATGGCCGGTATCATGACATGTGTTTAACATACGGTATACTTCCATATGTGTATCATGTTTCCATGAAATTGTCCGTATAACCATCTCTGTTGTCGCCTTCTGAATAAGTAACAGTAGAGATATTTGACGTTATCTAAACACATTTATCATGCATTATGTTACTGTCTTGCTGGCCAATGTTACCCCACTAAGCTTTGTTATTTTGGGGTAACTTTCGCCAGGTGGTCAAGTAATCTTTGAATGAGGCACCAAATATCATGAGGGGATTATGCACTCGTCAAAGTCAGCTATTAGCCTGATGTTCGCTGGCACCTGTGATGGAAAGTTACTATCGCCATAAGTAGTGTGCAAAGTCGAAAAGCTTTGGGAAACGGAGAATAGTCCACCAGGCACACGATATAACAGGTCAAGGTCAGGCTGGTTTGACAACACCTGCTTTTTAGGCTGGTTTCAGCAAGTGGCATTACCTTTCTGTCGCAGAAAAACTGGCCGTTGTGTCCTTTTGGGTGACAATCTCAGTTCACATTTTTCTCTTGACATTGTCAGACTATGCAATGAACTAGTATTGCTGTTTGTTGCCTCCCACCAAAGTTAACCCACCTTTACCAGACTCTAAATGTAGCATTCTTTCGGCCTATGAAGATCCAGTGGAAGACCATGCTGACGAAATGTAAAAACTCCTGCGGCAAAATAGTCCAAACCATCCAGAAGTACAGGTTTGCGTGGCTGCTCAAGTAACTTCTAGACACCATGGGTGAAGGTATTGCAGAAAAATTGCGGTCGGAGTTTAGAGAAAACTGGCATGTACCCAATAAATCCCCAGTCTGTCCTGAGCAGAATTCCAAAGGAAAAGGAAGAAGATGCAGGTGCTATCAGCACCTCTGTTTCTTAAGTGTTCACGCAACAACTAAAAGAAATGCAGTTTGATGCTGGTGAAGAAAAGTTACCACAACACAAAAAAGCTCTGAATGTCCAGCTTGGGAAAACTGTCTTGGGTCCAACCGAGGAGCTTGTTATCGGAGTGGAGCCTTGTGCTGAACCAGAAAGTGACTCGGTAGCCAAAGTATATCTAAGAGAAGCCGATTACTTGTCCTCCGTCTGTGATGTCAGTGACAACCGACTAGAAATCTTTTCCCATTCTGATGACGTGTGTGTTCCACCATCAGAAAAGGCTGTCAAACTCGAAAAAACATGTCTGTACAACGTGGTTATGTGCAGTGGCTATGTGTTATGTAACATTGGTCCTGCGTATGTGTTGCCATAATGACCAAAGTATTCCTGTTGAGGAGGAACTTTGGCCATAGCAGATATGTTAAAACATCTGTCGTAAATTTATGGAACTGCATCAGTCAATGTTTCCCACAGCATTATAACACTACAGCCCATGAACAGATCACTTACTAAGGTTATCAAAAGCACAGATAAAAGTGCGGTACATTCCAAAGAAACAAGTGAACTAAAGTTGGCTGTTCGCTGAGCTTGGCAATTTTGCCCAGAGGATGAAAAATAGGCGGCGAAAGTTGTCAGCTGATGCAGCGGCTTCCATCTCCTCAACTTGTTTTGACCACCAGGATTCACGATCAGAGCAAAAGCTTGCTTTCAGCTGTTGCTTAATAGATCGGCGGTGTTCGTTGTACTCTGCGCTAGCAGGCACCGCCCGTCGGCGATCCTGTAATTCCAAGGGTCTTCCCGAGATCCAGCTTTTGGGAGTGCAACGAGCGAGGCCACAGCTGGACAAACCGGCCGACAGCAAGGCTTGTTGCAGACTTGACCAGTGTTGATCAACATCCAGAGTGTGAGAGAGACCGAGATCTCCACGAAGCCTTTGTTAATACTCCTTCTTCACCATTGCGTCCTCCAACTTGTAGGTGTTCAGTCGGGTGTGTTTTGATCTAGGTGAACCACCGAAACGCATGCAAATAGTCGCACATACCAGTGCATGATCGGTATCGACGCATATTGACCAAAATGATCGGCAATCGCGTACGTTGCCGCGCCACCTGCGACTTATGGCTATGTGGTCAATTTGTGACTAGCGCTGAGTTGATGATGGGGACGCCAAGTGGCGTACTGGCGTTCAGGATGATGAAAGCTGGTGCTGGAGAGGAATAGCTGATGATCAGCACACAGGCTGATCAGTCACTCTCCGTTGTCTAAACGAACATCATCATATCCATGCGGCCCCCGAGACGGTGCTCAAATGGCAGCAGATGACCGACACGCACGTTGAAGTCTCCTGATGACTATTTGGCAATTTTGCCAAGCTCAGCGAACAGCCAACTTTAGTTCACTTGTTTCTTTGGAATGTACCGCACTTTTATCTGTGCTTTTGATAACCTTAGTAAGTGATCTGTTCATGGGCTGTAGCGTTATAATGCTGTGGGAAACATTGACTGATGCAGTTCCATAAATTTACGACAGATGTTTTAACATATCTGCTATGGCCAAAGTTCCTCCTCAACAGGAATACTTTGGTCATTATGGCAACACATACACAGGACCAATGTTACATAACACATAGCCACTGCACATAACCACGTTGTACAGACATGTTTTTTCGAGTTTGACAGCCTTTTCTGATGGTGGAACACACACGTCATCAGAATGGGAAAAGATTTCTAGTCGGTTGTCACTGACATCACAGACGGAGGACAAGTAATCGGCTTCTCTTAGATATACTTTGGCTACCGAGTCACTTTCTGGTTCAGCACAAGGCTCCACTCCGATAACAAGCTCCTCGGTTGGACCCAAGACAGTTTTCCCAAGCTGGACATTCAGAGCTTTTTTGTGTTGTGGTAACTTTTCTTCACCAGCATCAAACTGCATTTCTTTTAGTTGTTGCGTGAATACCCAAGACGGAATATTCTAGTTCATCGTAAACAGATTTCAAAGTAATGAAAAACGAATTTTCTACACATGAGACTACACACAAAATAAGGAAAATAAGTGTAATCTGTTTCACATTGGCCCAAGGTTACCCCATTTTACGCTACCTAAGTAACCGTGTCACCTCTGGAGGTCACATTACCGAGGAAGACACTTCACGCATCAGCAAGGACCGAATGGCTTTCCAGAGGGTCAACCATCCATGGAGATGGCGGCATATCAGGCTGGTAATGGTAGGATATAAAACGCTGCGGTAAGACCGGCTTTACTTTATTGACCCAAAACCTGGATAGTTCGCGACAGACATTAAGCGACTGGCCGTGTTTGTCCGCCGGCATTTGCGAAGTATTGCTCACGTCTGGTTGGAACACCTGCTGAAGTTCGCCAGTGGGTTCTTGGCAAGAAGCCGTCTGGTTTAGCATTCGAATGTTTTCTTAATGTCAGTCGCTTACGTTGGCTACGCCATGTCTTCCGCATGCCCGTTGACCGGCTTCCTCGGACAGCATTAGACATCGTGGATGCACGATGTTGGGCGAAATTGCGAGGTGGCCAGTCCATGACCTGGCATAAAGGCTTGAAGAAATTAACTGAAGGACTTGGTCAGGCTGGTGCGTGCCGTCCTAGTAGATGGGGGCCTCGGGATGGTCCACACCAGTGATTGGAAACCGTTTCGGATATTGCAGTCATTGGCGTCTCTGCATTCGGTTTTTTGCACCTAGTTGCTAATACACGCACTACTTGTTTGCTTCCATTTTCTTTACATTCTATTTGCCTTTAACCCCACTATCTAGCCGTTGTTAGTAACTGTTACACTTGCGATGTAAGTCGTGGCAACTAGATCCACCGTACTTCAGTGCCCGGATCATAGTTGTTTTACTTAACGGAAGTGAAGTGAAGCGAATCCACAATACTTTTATACGTGGATAAAAATTAAGTGTGGAACTAGCGGAAATTTCATCACTTTATATGCGCTTCACATTAAACAGTTTTTGCTATAGCATCTAAGACTACGTTCCACGGAGAATTCTTCACTGAAAACGAAGTCGTTGGTTTTATGATGCCTTATGCGGAGATGTTACGACGATCTGTTTGCAGCCTCACATCACACACACAATAGGAGGCAACGGGGGATAGCTGTTCTTGTCCTGAGATGACTGCGGCTATAAAAGGGCGTGCTTGTGCGAAATAAGAATAATGTTTGTGTAATATTCTAATGTTTGTGGAATATTTTAATGTTTTATCCCAGCCGCTCACAAGTTAGATTAGTCTAACCCCAACCCGGAAAAGCACCGGATGATCGTTTCGCTCTATTGGGACTAGTCAGTGGTGCACATTCCCTCGGTTCCCTGCTGGAGATCGAACGCTCGACCGTTAGCAGCTTACGCCACTGAGCCATGGGAGACGGAGGTAGACGACCTGAACTTACAAGTTAACTGGGATATAGCGCAACCTATGCCCCACTGCCATGTAGGTTCATACCATTGCAGAGGAGTGGCTGACCTCCAATGTTACGACTTCAACTACACAGTAGTTATGTCCGCATAGAATTTGAAGACTACAAGGGCGAATGTTTAGATTAATGTTGAGTAGGAGGATTTTTGTTTGTGGAACAGTTGCTCATCGTTTCCCAAAGCGGGTGTTGAAAATCGTCCACTTTGTTGCAAATGGTTCAAATATCTCTATGCTATTGAGAAAATAGGTTTGTAGATCCTATGCCGCATCGGAAGGCGGAATAAATGTTTCTTTTGATGGCACTGCTACTGTTACTGCTTCATCCACGAACTCTGTCAAATAAATAAAATTTGACTCCGTTTTCTATCGGATGACACTAATGGCATCTTTCGCCTACTGGCACTGGAAATTTTTAAAGTTTTGTGGGACTGTAGAACTGATCGTCCGCGACGCATTTGGATCGGCTTCAGCGTTCGACCGAGTCACTGTTAAGCAACATAAGTCATCGTCATCATCATCAACAGCAGTACAACAGAAATATAAGCTGACGCTTCGCTGCCTTACAGCCATGGTAAGCTATGGAACGAAGAATAATAAGAAGGGAAAAAAATTTAAGGGCCCTAAGCAGACATACAAGGTCGAGGCGCCTACAACTTGAAAACAACACACGGTCACAAACAGCGTGCATAGATAAAGCGGCATCGACGAGACAGCTGTCTTACGTGATAATTCAGCCATTACCCCATTGATAACTCAGTACCACATACGACAACGACAGCAAACATGCCACTGGTTCCGATTGCGAGCCATGTCCTGTAGCGTCTCGAGCCAAGCGCAAGACGGATCCTGTGGAGTTCAGTCGAGAAGGCGAGATGGACCAAACAGCATTTAGTTTAACCATAAATGACTTCTTTTTTCGCGGTCACGTTAACGTTTGCCCACCTCGAGCCCTGCGCCATCAAACATCCTGCGAGCAAACAAGGCTCTAATCTGTAGGTGACCGGGCATGCGTAGCACATGTCTAAACCAATGCAATTTATTAGGTTCTAGCTGATTATCACTACCTAGTAGTCGCCTGCAAGCATCATAGTTCCGCATACGCTGGTGTCATCCGACATCAGCAATGCTCCGCAGGTAACGATGATCAAAGACTTGAAGGCGCCTCAGATCATTAGACCTAAGGAGCCAAGTCTTACTTCCATGGAGTAGAAGGACCCTCACTGTGGTCGTCTAAACAGAATCTTTTAGGCCGAGTGGAACCCTCCTCGGACGCCAGGATTTCAAAGCGAGGAAACTCGCCACCAAGGTAAAGCAAACACGCCAAAGAGCTACGGCCGGTGGCCGAGTGGTCTGCACGTTTGCTTTGCAACCATAAGGTCACCGGTTCGACTCCGCGTAGAGGTGGGCGTCCTCGCGGTATACTCAGCCCACGCGCGACTGGTGGTGGTCGTGCGGCAGCGAAGCGCCGTTACGGCGTATAAGCTGACACATTTTTTACACACGGTGCTGTGCAAAAAGAGAATCACACTAGGCTGAGAGAATTAACGGTACCTCGCCTAGTTTCTATCACAACTAGTGTGAATAAAACATGTGTGCGGCAAGTTACCGTGTTCCGTGTCATGCAAGGTTGTTGTGACCGGTCTCAGAGAGGCAACGATCACTATATTTACGCATTTGATAGTGAGAATGGCCTCAGTTGCCCGATAGTTCGAAGAAATGGTGAGTTGTTAATGTGTGAGTTGCTCTCTAATATTCAAAAGGCCCAAACACGAACTGCGCAGTTCCCCCTTGTTACGTTAGTAAGAAAATATCTGACGTGGGTCTGTAAAAAGGGTCCAATAATTTTCTCTTTGCTTGTAAAAACCAGATCAAAAATGAAAACATGACAGTGAGTAGACTTACCTCATATATCAAGTTGGCTAGGATGCATTCAGTTTCATCTCGGTCGATATCCTCTACCTGAAAATGCAGAAAGCAGTGGCACATATTCATCGTGGCACAGTGAGCGTACCCACTGTTTGGTGCAAAGCAAACCGATGGGCTCAAAAGTATTTAGGCAAACGAAAAGATGGGTAAAAAGTGTGTCACATATATACAGGTGAATTTATATCGCTTAAAAGCACTCCGTGTCGCAGCAAAGTCTGTGAAGAATTAATTCTGATAAGATTTTAAATGATTAACTATGTAATTGAACGACAAGCTCATGATAGCTGAGAGTAGCGACGAAGTAAGTGAAACACATCCTGGTTCGAAAAAACCTCAAGTGAATTGACTGAACGAAGCTACGTGTCCGGATGTACCAGTCAGTTAAAACCTTCGTGAATGTATCCGACAACATTGCCTGTCCAGAACTACCATGTCGGTGAGGCGAAATCGTGTCCCGTTAAATGTTCAGGTTGTCAATCTTCAACTAACAGCCATGAAGGCTACAAAGGGGCTGCCCATCAGCATTACCCGTCTTATGTACTGGTTCATATGGCACTGCGGTTGGCGACTAATATAGTTCAATTTGGTTCATCGCAATTAGATTCCAAGCCGCATAGGTAAGCTACCAATCCGGAAAAGCACCAGACGCGCGTTTCACCCTATTGGGGCTCGTCAGTGGTGCGCATCCACCGGTCAACTATTGGGGATCGAACCCATGACTGTTAGAGGCTAACGCCAACTATTCAGTAGTCCATGCCACTGAGCCAAGGGGGGACGACAGCCGACCATTACGAATTGAAACCTAACTGCGATATAACCCGATCCATTCTAACATAATTGTATGGATGAACCCCGCCACTGCTCCAAAGCAAGGGATAAAAGTAAGAACAACAATTCTCAGAAAGCAGAATGAATGTCCATGGCGCAAAGAAGCACCTTGAAATCAGTGTTTTCGAGTAAAAACGCATACAGCCATATGCCTTATTAAAGGAGAACAAAAACAAGCACCATAATAATGTACCAGCTATACACCGTAACGGCACTTTACTGCCATATGAACACCACCAGTCGCGCACGGGCTGTGTACCGCGAGGATACCGAGTCTACGCGGACTCGAACCGGGACCTAATGGTTGCAAACCAGGTGTGCAGGCCATTCGGCCACCGGCTGATGGTACGGTGATGAAAGACAAAAGTGAGCTCAATCACAGGTACCTTCATGAGACGCAGCGCCGTGGTGAACACATCGATTGGCAACAGATGAGTCTTCATTATTGCACACCTAAGGGGTTCCGAAAGGATAAGAGTTTTTCAGCATAGTGAAAATGCAATAGCAAGTTCTATTGAAGGAAAATCATTGACCGTAAGATTTTCTGAGAAATGAAAATGGACTTGATGCGTCTAGTTGAAAAAATAGGACATAACACAGAAACAAAGGGCTTACACTTTTTTGAACAAATTGCGGTATGTGATCAGTTTGAGCTTTTCCAAGATTAAGTATACACCGCAAGACAAGAAAAAGCCCTCATATTTGTTTAGCTCAGAATCCATTTTTTGCAAATTTCCAGCTCTATGGCAATGGAAAGTAAGATGTGATGGGCTGAACCCACTTTACAGCTTCCGAAATACCGAGAAATTCGTTCAGATTGTACTTCTCAAGTAGGGACGGAAAGGGGAAGATACCCTAAAAGGATCTGCGTTGAAAAATAAGGCAAGGGGAATGTACCAGGAGCATTTTTACCGGAATCAGGTAAATCAGGATGAGGCGTTTGTTGTGCCACGCACTGCCAAGACAGTGTTCGAAAGAGAAGGTAAGGGATTTGTCCGCTGGGAAAAGAGAGTAAAAACCAGAGGCACAAGTGATGATAACGTGATACGCTGACTTCTGAGCATATTGATGCCAACTAATTGAGCAGTGCATAGTAAATTCAGAGAACAGAGGTAGTGACCGTGAAAATAGAGCAACTCATGTTAAAGCTGAGTAATTTCATGTTTGTCATATTTCCGTATTCAAATGGACGAATTAGGGCGCAGGTAGCCGCAACGTTGGACTTCACTTGTGTAGTGTAACTGTAAGGTACAAGGCATCCATATAAAAACAGATGCCAATGATGAGTTTACATGATCAAACCCACAGTTTCCGAACCTGAATATCCGAAACAATCTATCGAAGTGATGGTTCACCGAAAGAGTGGTGAAATCCGTAAACGCACTATGGTTGCTATCAACTGGGGCGCTAGTAGACATGTACCTGGGAAGCCAATGGCTATACCATATATGTAAGATATCCGCAGTGAACTGGACACTGAGTTATTAAAAGAAAAAATAGGGGTTGAACATGTCCGAAACCACTGGATTGTGATCAAAAACTTTAAAACTGTTCATCGCTTGTCAGTGTGTTGATCATTCTTCAAGTTCTTGTGAGGTTAAAAATGACGGATTCACGGTAACACAAATCTGAAATGTCACTATCTGCAGCTAAGCGTTCTCTGAAGTTAACAATGGGGAAATATAACTGCAGGACTATTTTGAACCGTTGCACAAATTGTACCACCACCGTGTTGTGACCAACTGTTCCAGACATTGAACATTCGTCGCCCGAAGCACTGTTACGCCCGGGTGAAACCAGAAACAAGTATGGAGCGATGGAAGTATATCGCAAGGCCAATCAATTATTGTGTGTACAAGTGTGTGATGGGTAAGGTAGCAGCAGTATGCGCAGAGTTATAAGTCGGCGTTTAAGTAAACAGAAAGAGAATTAGCGCACTGAGGGTGGGGAACGAATCACACATACGCGCATACATGTGCAGTTGGCTGAGAGAAAGCATAGATGACAAACTAGGGATACATCACTCTTTCGCCTGTGGTTCCAGCTGTCCATTATGAAAGCGATCGACGGGTCGGTGGTCGCGGATTGGACTGAGCAGCGAAGATTCAGCCTCTGCTGAGGAGTCACTCAGACGTATGTCGTCCAACACTGAGTTGTGGGGGGGGGGGTGAGTCCGCAGACTAACTCGGAATTTGCCGGGATTGGCTGCACGTGACATATGTGAAGCCGCACGAATTTGCCGCCCTGAGGACCTACCTCTACTATCTACCCCTGAGCTGTCTTAACAACAGCCGGCTGCTATCCGGGTTTTGTCGGCAAACGTACGTAGATTGGATGTTATTAGGTTACAAGCCTGTCTACAACGAGCATCAAAGCGTTCTTTTGTTCGATCTTCTTTATCAAGTACTTCAGATAGCAGAGTTTAGTCGCGTACGGAGACGACGGCCCAACATCAGCTCCGGTAATGCAAGCTTGTACAGATGTCCGATGGTGTTAGTGGGTGGTGTGGCGGACTTAGCATGTGGAATTCCCCAAGATGGAAGGTACGGTAGCACATGATGATATCGATTCGAGCAGTAAATTTGTGACTAGCATGGTAACCACATGACGGACCCATACGACTGATTACACCTTGCCCCGGTCGATCGGGACAGTAGCAATGGTTATACGATGGAGAAGAGGCGGACGGCAACCATTTCAGATCAGGTGCAGAAGCCAGGTTTGATGGCCCATAGCATGCGTAGTCTGCTTCGATAGCCTGTTCAAGCAGTCCACGGACTTCGAATCGCAGCTTGAGAGCACGCTTAGGTCCTTCATGAAGGGCATGGGAGGCAGCGGTTGGCTCGGCTGTCACTACCAGTGAAAAACTCGAGGTCGTGATCAGTGCGCACGGGGGGGGGACTTGGATCACTGAAAAAAGCGTGCGAAATATTACAAGAATGAAACAACATTGGTCGGTTGAAGTCGGTCTTACGGAATGAGGGTTATCCAAGCCTCACATGACTGGCCAACCGTCGACTTGAAAGAGTGGCCTTCTCTTCGATTCTGTGCATTCCATCCTTACGTACTTCACAAGGCTTCGTTTCTCAGGATTTCACACAACAGTTTTCAGTGCGGGCTGGCTTGAAGTTTGAGCCTTCGGGTTAAACTTTGAGGACAAACACAAGGAGTTGCATACGAAGGGGTGCTCAAGACAACCCACTGGCTAGGGACTCCGCTCAACTTCTTCTGGCTGTATCTCGTTCCAATACTCCACGAAAACCGCAAAAAATCTCAATGGGTAACCTAATACAGGCATATCAAACTAGTGGCACATTGGACGCATGAGGCCTTTCGAAAGTACGTCTGCAGCCCTCAGAAGGGCTATTACAATGTTTATATATATATATATATATATATATATATATATATATATATATATATATATATATATATATATATATATATATATATATATATATATATATATATACTGTGGCTTTCAGGACATGGAATGTTATCCATACAGCTTTCGAAGAGTCCTCAGTTTGACATGCCTGAGTTAATGTATGAAATATGGGCAGTAAAACGGCAAATAAGCCGTGCGCGTGGTCCAAAGCTCGACGTCTTTAGAAGAGTAATCGAAGAAAGATTGTTTGGGCATTCCGAATAGTTCAAAAGGAAGATGGAAACTAACGGTGAAGCGGAGAGCGATAGTTATATCGTCGTAAGTACTCGGAGGAAACCCAGAATCTGGATTAAAACTGAATGACACTGAAATATCCAGGTAACAATTCCAATGCACCGGGGGTATGCACAAAGAAATAACTCTCGTAACACAAATAAAGGAGGACCAACCAGACACCATGGCCAGGTGAGGAAAGAATTGTCGAAACCCACTGTGTGAAAAATCAAGAAGACATTACACCTGGAAATGTTTACACTATCAACAAAGACGGTCAGCACGAACCGTCAGTAGGGAGAAAAACGGGACTCGATAAACATTATCACAGTGGGATCACGGGACAGTAATGATCGTTCACTCACCGGAAATAAAGTCCCCATCAAACATGGCTTTTCGACCCACATAGTAGCAGTAAGTGACGCGCTGAGCCAAACTGAACCGGTCGTTAATACTCAAATTGTCAATGGCGCGAATCATGGACTTGCAAAGATTAAGCTTGTTTATCTGATGGAAGTGCAATAAAGTATGAAAGATGATGAAACACGTGACCATGTGGAATCTGAGAAGACCATATGAAAGGCAAACTGTTGTTGATACGTTGATGTTACGAAGCCAGGAATAGTCCATGAAAGTGAAGGGGGAGATACTGCGAGTCGATGGTTGATAACAACTGTCCAAAACATGATGCCCAGAGCTTAAAGACAATCATTTGCGTCCGGATTTCGCTGTTTCAACTCACAACAACCAATATAAGATGTCCTGGTTGCAAGAGTGGTTTCTTTATGGGTGGATGTAAACAGAGTGACTGATGAGGATGCAATATGATGTCTCACGGAAAAACAACTTGTATGCTTCTAAACGGTCGGCGATTTTGTCCTAGGTAACTGGGCTAAGGGTTTGTCTGCGACATCAACATAATTTTGCGTACAGCAGAAGGATAAAATGAATGGGGGAGCTCGTACATGGCACATACTCTGGTCAACAAGCATTTACTGAGTGTTAGTTGGTGAGCAAACAAGTCCTGCAGGCTGGCTGCCGCTCTACCCGATGCGCATCAGGGTGCTTCAATGTTACCAGTGTGGTTACATCAGCAACAAGTGTGATGTTTAAAGGTTAGGGTTCTAGCGATAGTCGTGTACTCACAAAGCGGAATGCATTGTGCTGCTGTTCCTTTATGAACGGCCACTCAGTTCGAATGGCTCCCCTACCGGTTGTTATAAGTAACAGAGTAATAACTGCAATGTTAGTCATTGCAATTCGCAAACTAGAGGGAGAGACAGCTAGTTAAGCGATCGGACTGCTAATTTTAACGTTTTGTGCTGAATTACATGACAAACCCAAAAAGTGAAGGATGTAGGCAGCTTAACTGAGATTAAAAGCAGTGTGAGAAAATCAATATGTGCACTCAGTGAAACGAGGACGGGCGAGATTTAATGGCCTATACTGATCATCAAAAGATCCGGGTTAGGGGCACCCCAACAAATAGCTCGGTCTGATTAGTCAACCACGACTTGGACGTGGTGGTTTTCGTTTGGAAAGCGTTCTCCCTAGAAAAGCTATAAATGTCCGTTTAACAACACTGTGACGTGGAGGATGTGACTCGCCACTGCCTCTTACGTATCCGGATGAGCTTACGCAATCCACGGATGTCAGGCATCCAATACGAAGATATGATTTCACCCCTACTAACTTTGACGGCCTGACCAAAATCAATCACATATACGGCGTCACACTTATAGATTCAAGTAACACAACCACACACCTACTTACCTACATGCATTCATACACACTTAACACATGGACCCATATGCTATTTAGAAACTTGTGCCGTGCTTACATTTACCAGCCCTTGTTGTATCACCATGATCACGACCATGCATATACAGACGTGTCTCGCAGTCGAGAATAAAACATTTATTTATGAGTCTAGTTAATGATTTGTATCGGCTTACAACATTAAGGTAGTAAAATAGGCCAAAATGAGACAAGTGAGGCAAATCATGCAAGCAGCATAAGAAAAATGGTTAAGGTTATGTGCAACAGGTGCATCTAGTGATGAGTATGTTCGATGATCAGATGCGCTCAACAGCGATGAGTGCGTCTTTACAGTGTAAGTGGTGGGACTAGCCAGGTTCATGTTGCCACTTGTTGCTACGGTCAGGCCTAGTACTTAATTGCCTGATATGTGCCAAACGCCATCATTACAGTGAATTTTCAGGTCTGACTGCGCTTGATGCGGATGCTGGCGAGCTGCTTAAGTGCTTGGTGTCCTTGCCTTAAGGGAACCGCTAATCGTTGCTAAAAAAGATGGAGTGGGTGGCGTTCGTGACAGTGACAGGTTCAAAGAGTAGTTTCGTCATGGAACGAGCTACGGCCCTATCATCGCGTGGATCCCGGAATTTAACATCAGCCATGTGCGTACTGAAGGAGTACAGGCAGACTCAGAAGCGGATGGGACTCACATACTAACGTTGTTAGATCAACAGCACGGTGAAGCAAAAGGGTAGCAGTGTTACAGCAATACTTCATGTCAATGATTTGCTGCTATGCCACTGCTAGTGGTTGTATGTGAACTGGACACTGAAGGAATGCAGAAAACTATGCAGAAGTGGTGACTCGGAAGCAGGCGAAGAGACTGCAAGTCAAACGCCTGGAATACTATACCACAATCCCACCATGAATTCCTAGTAAATGAATGTGTCTTGTGGCTATCGCAACCCCAGTAACGAGTAAATTTAGGAACCGCATGCAATATATATATATATATATATATATATATATATATATGGTTGGCGGAATTCGGTTTCCGATTTGTCTGTCAATGTGGCCAACCAAAGGACGCCTGCGCCTACAGAGGGACTATGGGTGGCTTGCGCTGCACCACCCACAGCTCCATCCACATACCCCATATACAATGTAAACCCGAAGGAATAAGACAGAGGCATGCGGATGGGAGCCACGTTTCATCAACGGAGCCGGCCCACACTCCTACAACAAGCAGAACAGAAGCATTCCGGCCTAATTGGGAAATCATGCACACCAGAGGTACACATGACGGTAGCTGGACCCTAGCCCGTTCCACACAGGATGAAACCACTCGTTGAGCGCTCATAGCTATGATTAAACATGTCATGGTCTGTAACAGTACGCCGCTAATGACAAAGGAAAATACGACATAGATTTCGCTAATCGTGTCAAACAAGCAGACGGAAAAATGTCCAACAGATTAACACATGGGTACCTGGAAATATATCTTGAAGAGCTGATTCGCCAGCCCCATCATACCAAGCTTCTTCGAATCTTCCAATTGTGTACGACTGAATGTAAAGAACAAAGAACGGAAGAGTCCGCGTTTGGGGCGGAAGATGCAGTCACCATTCAATGGCACAGAGTAATAAGGATGAAACAAACAAAACGGGTAATCAGATGGCGAATCGGAACTGAAACAACAATGTGAATAGAGACGAAACACAACGGCCAGTGTCCGAAAAATTCGAAGTGAGATGTGTTTATAGATGTCTTTCGAAAAGAGCACACGCAATAAGTATGATCGACCGCCTACTTTATGAAACCTCGTTGTCATCCATCGGTCACCCTTGAAACATTCCTTTACGAAACTTACCCTCAGCAAATTGGACAATTAGGTGGACAACCAATGAAGCAGAAAACAATGCCAGGCAGATGATGTATTACAAGGAAATCCTATGTGCCACCAGTTGTTGTTGGTTAAATCCAACCGACAAGCCAATCCAGTGGTGTAACTGGACGTCCACAAGAGAGTGTGTAGGCTGGGAGCGACCAAACAAACAGATCTCAGTGCAAAGTGACCGCCTCCAACAAACCGTCACGTCTTCTTCCCGAAAACCGAAAGGCACCGAACAGCACAGGCAGCCGCCGATTAAATGGGGGGTAAATATCCCAGTGAAATAAACAATGGGGACGATATGGCGGTTTGGAGAGAGGAAAAATCAAACAACTCGAGTTGCTCTTGATCAATCGGTGAAGTTGGTGATGGGTTGGCCCAGTCATGTACAAGCACCACCTGTGTTTTTGTGGTACACGCAAAACCAGAATCACACAGTGCTGAGTTATTCGACATGATGTTGCAGAAGGTAAAGGGATATCTACACAAAGACGCAATTTTGAAACAGCGGCCACTCAATGCAAAATAAGTCACACAGAACCCTTCAATGAAGATAAATCATAACAGTTGTCTCACCAAACGCCGACTACAGTGGCGCCAACAAGAAGCAATACTATGAGAAACACGGGTAAAGAGAGCCCCAGCTCTGATTTTTAAATGGGCACAGAACTGATTCGCAATTCACGGTAGATCAACCAGAACTTAATACCAAAATAAACGACCAAGGTCGATATTTTGAAAGACGATAAGACACACGCATCTTTGAGAAAAGATATGGGCAATACATAACAAACCGAGACAAAAAAAACCTTTGCATTTATAAGTACGACGCACTGAGATGAAGTTAACTTCGTCAACTGTTCGCGTTTGTGGCATTTTTAAATATCCTTTGAACTTATCACGAATGCGTTCATAACCAATTTATTTCATATGCTCATTTACCGAAGAGTCATGTCAGCATATCCGTAATCCTTAATCGATATAGTTTAATTGATATTGTCACTTCAAGTGATTGGATGTTGTTGGACATCCCCGGTGTGGCTGCACTTGAGGTGCATGTTGACAAGGTGCCTACCTGTCTGTTACCCACTACGTCTATACTGGCTATAGGAGACAGTTGGTCGTTGCTGGAGGGGACGGAGTTCACGGTCCTTGTGGCCATGCTAGGCACGAAGAGTGGTTCCATGCACCCAGTTTGGAGTGGACTACGGTCCAGTCACCACGTTGTGTGCGCTTGATTTCCCAAATACAGCGTGTTCGTGTTTGTCTGTGAAGGAGTGTGGACCGGCTCCATTGATGAAACGTGGCTCCCATCCACATGCCTCCCGGTCTTATTCCTTCGGGTTTACACTGGACATGGGGTGAGTGAATGGAGCTGTGGGTGGTGCAGCACAATCCATCCATGATCCCTCTGTAGGCGCAGGCGTCGTGGTTGTTCCATGGAGGCCAGAGTGACAGGCAAATCCAGAACCGGATGCAGCCAACTATACATATCGTCCGACACATCAGCATCAGAGATGAAAATATTCGCGGATGGTCTATCCTCGGGGTTAGTGCTGAAACTTGACCACTCAGTCTGTGTCACTGCCGGAGACTTCAATGATAGTGATACCGGATTCACCTACGCACTTGATTTGGCTAACATAGTGGCCTTTCCGACAAGACCTGAAGCGCAACTAGATTTCGTCCTGGCAGTTTTCTGCACAAAAAGCGTACCCCGCTCGGCAACTCCGACTATTATATCAGAAAAAGGTGCCAATCATTAAGGAATCACTTCGGTTATCTGGTTAGTAAGCCCTCCAAAACTGTGAGGCGACGATCCTGTTCATCATCATTATTGCGAGACTTCAAATAATGCTGACTTATACGAAGATTACAGGTTTCAACAACGAATTTCTTTTTACTCAATGTGAACATTTCACTGACTAACTTAATCTTTGCTGCCCATCATCATTATTATCAGTATACACATTAGCTAGAGGTGTAAAACACCTCAGCTACTGTGCCGCAATACACAAAAGAAAAAAAATACAACACGCATGCTAGCTGCGCTACCAACCAGCAACGGATGGGCATCGTTCCGGAAAGCTACCAGCCGGCTACCAGGCAACAAGAAAAGTTATGTAAAATTATATTATGCTACGAAATGAGATGGTGGTTGGAGGGGGAGGCTAAAAGCGATGGGGAGGGACAAGGAAACTCACAGCAGGAACGCCACTGAGGTCAGCTCCTAGCCATGTCAGCAAGTGTATCTAGCCAAACATGTTCAATCTTTGCTGCCCAGTCGAAACCATCTATTTACGAGTAGACAGTTTCCCACCATTACTCAAGCAATCCAGAAGTTAAAACGAACAGGCTTATAAATGTAAAATGATTGCCCTTATCAAACAACTCTTTCTAGCAATAAAAACTGAGAAAGTGCGATTGAATAATTTGTACGTCAAAGCCGTTTTATGCAGCCACAACTACCGCAACCTACGAAGCAACTATGCGGCGAAAAATCCAGTAAGCAGCTTCGACCTGTGGAGGAAGTGAAACTCGAGTCTTCTTCACAGGAAGCATCCTGCACTCATTCATTCTCTGTCTTTTGGTCTCTGGCTCTAGTCCAAAAGTTACATTTCAACATATTGAAGTATACCGTAAACATAGGAAGTTGTACTCAAGAAAGGCTAGTGTGCTCGATGTACTTTAATCAGGTGTCATAACATTGTGTGCCGACACTCTCACCATGCACTAGACAAATATTTTTAATCGATGCCTACATGGTGGAGTTATCCCCACATTTAAAGGTCTTTTAGGATGACACCCGTGCAAAAGAAAGACCCATGAAATTCCGTCTGGTCGCTTGTACGCCCGCCATGTTGAAAGTTTTCGAGCGATTATTTGTGCCTTGGATTCTCAGCAAGTACTTTGGCAGTTTATGAATATGTTTGGGTACAGACCCCGACGTTCCAAGTTGGATGCTGTAGCATACCTTTTTCACTCAACAGCGTTTTCATTGGTTGCGAAATACAAGAAAGTACCGCTCCTCTTCCTTGATTACACCAATGCTATTGAAAGTGTCGACAGATCAACCATGCTTAATCAGTTTTCTGCGAATGATTTTCAAACAAGTGCGCAACATGATGAGCAACTACTTCATAAATCACTTTTATTTCACCCAACTAAACGGTAAAATATCCCCCCACTAAGCGTGGAGACTAGGGCGTCTTACAAGCAGCAAATCTTTGCCCTTATACATTCTCTTGATACATGGAAATGCTCACAGTTCCGCGCAATTTTATTGGATGCTGGTGACGTAGTTCTAGTTAGCATTCATCCAACTGCTGAATCATAAACGGCTCTCCAAAGCTGGTTGGAGGAGCATCCGCAGTGGTCATCGTCCCGATTCCATAGCCCCAACGCTTCAAAGTGCCGCGATGCAACTTTCTCTTTTCTCCGCACTGACAAGCGCTTGGCGGGCGTTTCTTCTCCGCTTGCAATAGTACTTTCTTCTGTACGTGAACAACCCCACATCCGAGTAGCTTACGCCATTCGCGCCGATCGACGGGCATCGCTTCCCAACATCTGAAGTCAACATCAGTTCATAACAAACGAACCTTGATCTTATCCTGGTAACGTAACTTCGGTTTTCCCACGTGCCGCTTTCCCTGCACTAAATTGTTCATATAAGAACTGCTTGGGTATCTGCGTCGAATCTACGCAGTTGACATGCCCCAGCCACCTCAGGTGCTGCAGCAGTAGTATGCAGTTCAATGCGTACATGCCACTGTGACAAAGGAGTTCAGTGACTGAAACTCGGTAACCCCAGCCGATGCGCAGAATCCGACGCAGGCACTGTTGATGGAAGCGCTCCAGATAACGCACGCCATTCTGATACAGCGTCCACGTTCGCTGCGATCTAGAAGAACGGACAGTACTATCAATCGGTATAGATTCAGCTTCGTACCAAGCGTAAGCTGATGACACACGATGTTCCATCTTGCCGAATGCAGTAGCAGCCTACGAGACATGGATACGCATCTCGCCCGTCATCTGAAGGTCGGTTGATATTAGGCTTCAAAGGTAACAAAACGTCGATGCTGTTTTTGACACGTCAGCGGCAAACTGGATTTGGAGCTGGAAAGCACAGCTTTGCTTGTTGATAGTGAGCCAGAATTTAGGCACCGTCAAAGCGAGAGCCGCTGGAACTCATCCGCGCTGTGTGCAAACAACGCAAAGTCGTCGGCAAACAGCAACATACGAATGGTTGTCCCATACACCAACATTCTCGCCCCCAAAAGACGAATGTTCAGTAACCCACAACAAATACGGAGCTCCACATGGACACCGTGATCACAAATAGCATCAGAGGTCCAAGACGTCATAACATTTCGATGAGCATTAAACAGTGCATGAGCTAAGACACAGCCTTGCTTCACGCCAGAGACAACTGCAAAGTCATCCGAGGTCTGTCCACTCAGCTGCACTTTCGCCCGCATACCATCATGAGGACATTCAATTAAACTTACTCGGACAACCAAACTTACCCAACACCAGCCACAATGCCTCGCGGTTCACCGTGTCAAATGCTTTGGTGAAATCAACGAGTACAATGGATGGCGTTGTTCTCTGCACTTCTCCAGCAACTGACGAGCCGCGAACACCATATCTATAGTGCTGCGACCCGAACAAAATTCACATTGCTCTTCCGCAAAGTTCGGATCAGCGACCTGACTGACGAAGTGGTTGAGTAGGATTCGGGTGATCACCTTGCCCTCACAACTCAACAAGTTGATATAACGATAATTCGTGCAACACTGCTTGCTCCCATTGCCCTTGTACAGTGGCAGCACAAGGGCATCCTTCAGCTCGGCCGGCATTTCCTCTTCAATACATACGCGTTGCATCAATTGGTGCAGTGCATTTACCAAGACGCGTCTACCGTGTTTCAATACTTCAGGCAGGGTCCTGTTGGAACCAGCGCATTTGACGTTTCGCGGCTGAGCAAGTGCAGTCTGCGTCTCATCCGGTGTCAGTGTGAAGGCAAGATACATCATCTTTTGTTGTTGCAGCCCGTGCAACACAGTACATTCAATCTCCAAGGTTGTTCATGAGGCAGTCAAAATGCATTCGCTAGATATGCATTATCTCTGCAGTGTGTGTGAATGCGCGCAGACAGAGTCAGAAGTATGATCCAGTAGCGCCGCAATCGGCTGCAAGGTTGGTACACACACCGCCCTCAAGGAATTCCTTATACTGGAGGCTTTCGGCGTATCAGTCCATATGCTTCGTCTTCTCCGTCCACCATTTATTATTGATGCGACGAAACTCTTGAGTCAATCGTCGTCGAAGTTCGCGAAAATGGTCCTCCTTCTCGCAGTTATCAGGGTCATCCAAATGTGCAGCGAATGCTGCATTTTTCACCGAGACCAATGGTCGCACTGTTGTCATCAAACCAACCGGGCCGCTTACAGTATGCGCGCCGGATGGTTTCCTCGGCTGCAGCCGTCACCTGTTCACGGATGTGATGCCTCAAGTCGCTCACTGAGGCGATAGATTCTACATCGCCAAAGCGGGTAGCCATCGCGTGCTTCAGTTCCATCTTCTCCCCAATATTGCCTAGGGAAAGAACATTAAATTTGCACCGGTTCACGGCAAGTGCCCTATACACCGATTTACGAAAATATGTGTGAAAGTTGGTCCGTAACAATTTGTGAGCACTGCCACACTCAGCTCCACGCAGTACACGCATGACATACTGGCTTACAATGGGCGCGTCCAAGTAACTGTATCATTCACACTCAGTGCAAACCGGGTGTTAGTGATCGTCAGGTCGTGAATGGCGCATATCGGGAACAGTGGTTTCCGTTTATATTGGCTGTACCAATACCATATGACCTGATGACGTCTGTCCACACTGCGGCATCACGCCAAACGCGCGCATTAAAATCACGCATGAGGAATAGCTGGTTCTTCTCGCCACAGACCTTAACAAAGAAAATAATTGTGTGTAAAACTGATCCCTTGTGTCATCAGGATAACACATGGTGGAGCCATACATGCTAATAGAAGTGGTAAATTTATGTATTCCAAGTCGTAGCCGAATAGTTACTAATCGAGAGCTGATGCCAATCGGTTTTGCCCCCAGCTGGCCATTTAGGCAGAGTGGTGGTTCAAACCCGATTCCATGTTCACGTGGTGCTGAGGTGGCGTTCCCCACCCAGTAGAATGTGTACTCAGCACCAGCCTTATGCAGCTTTCCTTGCTCAGCGAGCCGAGTTTCACTGAGCGCAGCAGTATCGATACCGTAGCACGCGAGTTCCATGGCGACGATTGCATTGCGTCACTCGGTACACTCACTCGTGTTAGAATCGTGTAGTGTGCGCACATATCAGCACCCGATGTTGAGCGCTTTGCGCGGAGGCATACGATTACGGTGGCGGGTAATCGCACGCGCGGCCATATGGATTGAAGTAAGTAGTGGATTAGGTGAAATGGAAAGGAGAGCATGCGTAGGGGAAGAAAAAAGAAGGGAAGCATTAGCAGTAGCATGTATTCGTTTATCCACCCCGCTGTAAACAACAGATAAGGCGACCCTTTTCGCTCCCCACTCCTGCGCTACGGCCGGTGCGGCATTAGTATTGGTGTATTTCATATATATATATATATATATATATATATATATATATATATATATGGGGCCGTGTACCGCCTGTCGGTAAATATACAAATTTATTTATTTTTATATATATAGTGCCCCATGCTGAGGCTGATGTTGCATTCATGATGCTTCTTCACCGCAGTTGGGCTAAACCAACTTACACTTAAACTAGGTCTTTTGATGTGGATAAAGTTCATTACATTTTATTTGGTTTATTCTACGTACTTGATAATCTTCTCCCAACTTGCACATGTCGCTCATGGAAATTGTGGTAAACTTGCGTAAGTGTATCGCGTGGTATTTTTTAAATAACTCGGACATTTTGTGTTTATCACGGATTCACTTAGAATCAATTTCTTCTATATGCTCATTTAGCGAGTATTTATGCCGTCATATGCGTTTACTTTATTCGATATCGGCATTTCGAATGGTTGGCTGTTGTTTGACATCCCAGGTGTGGCTGCGCTTGATGTGCATGTTGACAAAGTGCCTACCTGTCTATTACCCACTACCTCGTTCACAATGGCTCCAGGAGACAGTTGGTCGTTGCTGGAGGGGACGGGGTGCACGGTCTTTGTGGCCGTGCTAGGCTCAAAGAGTGGTTCTACGCAGCCAGTGTGGAGCGGACTACGGTCCAGCCACCGCCTTGTGTGCACTTGATTCCCCAAGTACAGCGTGCTTGTGTTTTCCTGTGAAAGAGTGTGGGCCGGCTCCGTTGATGAAACCATCCCATCCACATGCCTCCCGGTCTTATTCTTTCGGGTTTACACTGGATATGGGGTGTGTGGTTGGAGCTGTGGGTGGTGCAGCGCAATCCATCCATGGTCCCTCTGTAGGCGCAGACGTCCTGTAGCTGGCCACAGTGACAGGCAAATCCGAAACCGGATGTCGCCAACCATATAATGACAGAATTAATGCTATCGAGATGCTTTGTTTCGTTTGAAAAATTTCGTCACCAGATTAAATTTAAGTGGATATGTCCAGAAGCGTATTTTTTCAGTTAGGCATCAAGTAAGCAACCGAATTCGGGTAGATCAATAGATGGATTTGAAATGTCACAATGGTGGCATATATGTCAAGTGGAAGCAGCAGATAGAAAGTCCCAAATAACGATGTGCACGGGACCCGGAGATGAACATATAAAGTCAGTTGTTTCCCACTAGCAACTCGGCACCCCACGACCGGTAACCTTATTCTGCAATAAAAGAAACAAACCTCTCTAAATCTGCCTGAAACAATAACGTAAACTGGGACAGAAGCATAAAAAGCAACATTGATTAATAGCAGTCATCAGAGAGTACAGTAATCCTTGTGGTACATACTGGAACGCATCCTCGAGTTGACAAATAACTGTACGCAAAAGAAAACCGCAAACCGGTAAAATGAATGGTGTACTGACGAAACATACCTGTCGCTAGCACAAATTTGGAAAAGTCGTAAAATGAGTTGGGCGGCTGCTTCCATTTGTCTTCCATGACTGCGATTAGGTGGTGTGGTGGTCTTTCCTACAGCAGCATTATCTAAGCCATAAGCAAATCGGCGAAGGTCAATCGCCGTAGCGAGGACAACGGGTAACATCCAATTTTCTTCTTTCAACTCTGTGAGTATCTTTGAGATGGTCGTGGCATGATGGGATGGGCATAAAGTGATGAAGGTAATAGCAAAGTACTTCCAAATCCATTAAAAGCAATAAAAACAAGGACTATCAAGTAAGCAGCAATAAGTGAAAAATTGGTGAACAAACACCCACAGTAGCAATGGCTTCAATAAATTCAACACAACAGTCACCGCGATCCGTGAACCAAAGTACATTGGATCTAGTCGCCCTGATATACGTGACCAGCACATTATAGTTGAGAGGCATGGATAAAAAAGGGATTCTGTTGGATTAGGTAAATGAGATTCAGTAATGAGCGAGCGAATGCAAGAACGCCAATGTTTTGTGACCAACACATCCGATAAAATATCCGACCAGAAATGTGGCCGGTTCGGAGGCCTCCATCTAAAAGGATGACAAGTAATAATCATATCCATTATTTGGTTGAGTTTCATCATGATCTGTTGAGATACCATCGATTGCCCAACTCAGGTCTAACCTGACAGGGTACACTACTAGCAAAAAATAGACTCCGGGACAGCCAGTTAGCGGAGGAAGGACGTTCTCAGAGTAGGTGGTACAAATTCAACAGATATTTCGGCGTGGCACCAATCTGATGCTGTGGAAGGAAACAGAACAGCTTGCTGCACTGCTGTTATTGATGACAATGTTGCGATCCGGCCAGTAGGCACCTAGGTTGTAACCTGCAGGCCATCGGGTCGAATTTACGTAGGTGGGGGTGACCTGATAGTGTCCTTAGCACGTGCGACTGGTGATCGTGCGGCAGCCAGGGAGTACCGGAGTACTGCTGGTGCCCTCCTCCTCCTCCACCACCAAATGAAGGAGTTCAGTAAATGCAAAATCGAAAGTCTCAACAATTCTGAGACAAACTTCTAGGTATCAGTAACCAAATACGACTGGTACCCTAGTTCTCAGTGGCCATGTTTCTGGTTAATAAAGTAGCAGCGGTTGTACTGCGTAGTTGCAAACTCACACATTAACCCGTATGCTAACATACACTACATCTGGTAGTGTGTGGCTTTGAGTATTAACTCCAAAAGGGACAGCGCAGCGAGACTGGTCACTCATCACTCAACATGTAATTCAATTAGACTCTAAAAAAACGAAACAAGATAAGCAATAGTATGCTGTTTTATAGCGGGTAACGTGAGCAAGATATCGAAAGCGCAAGAACAAGCAACATCTCGGCGGAATAATCTGAAATAGATATATTTCGCATATTTTCATCAACCGCTTACATACAACGGGTGAAAACTTCAGTTGGAAATGACAGATCAATACCCAAAATCGCACCATACCAAGATAGATCAAGGTTGGACACAAACTCCAGCTGTTTGTATAGATTAGGATTCAAATGCCGGATGGTAGAAGTTTCGGCAAAAGGCAATAACTTGAGATTATCTCGTATGTTGCTGACCTCGTTGGGACCATGGCACATCGAGCAGATGAGTAAGTGCCGAACAGAATTAGTAAGTAATGTTGCACCACTGAAAACTGGACTCCTTGAATTTCGGAATGCATTCTGCCAGATTTTCCAATCGTAGACTCTACCCTTTGATACCAGAGTGATGTCGTGGCGGTGTTATAAGTAAGAAGATTAGCCAAATTGCTTCGAGTTTTTGCCATACGATTCCCACAGGCGCTGCCCAGGTAGTTGAATTGCGCAACAAGTTCTAGTTGATCTCCACCAAGAGTCAGCACAGCGGTTAGGTCGCCCCCATCCTGGAGCAAATATTTCCATTCTTAGGGCCCAAAACAATGATTGGGAGACAGTACCATTCTGTCCAACGCTGTTCGGTAGTTCATAAACTGTTCTACATTAGGGCAAAAATGTCGGTGTACACTGGGTCAAAAAGGAGGGGAACTAGAATCAACTACATATCTAAGTCATGAACACTGAACGCAGTTTCCACGGCTTCGTCAATGGTTAAGTTGAAAACAAAAGGTGAAATCAGGCATCCTTGTATCATACTGGTGGAAATATTCAAGGGGTGCAAGAATTCGCCATAAGCCTTCATTCTGCGCAAACTTTGCTTGCAAATCTTCGAACGGTGTCCACATATTTATCGAGCATACACTTCTTGATCAAACAACCAAAGCGCTCAGACTAGAAGACGATTCTATTGTCGAGAAACACGAATACGGTAGGTTGCCAATAAATGCGACGGTGTTCCAACAACCGATATAAGACGAGGGCATGGCCAAGAAAGCATTGACTTCAACCATACATTTACAATACACGATAGTTACGGGTGGAAAAGATCTGATATTGTGCTGCAATACAAAAGAAAACATGCAACATAAGCACGCCTGCTGAGGCACCACTAATGGATGGACATCGTTCCAGAGAGCTACCAGCCGGCAATTGTGCCCCGAAGAGTTATATAATGCCTAATATATGAGATCGTGGTTGGAGGGAAGGCCAAGCGGGAGGAGGAGGGATAAAGAAACTCGCAACACAAACGCCACTGACGTCGGCTCCTAGCAACGTCAACAACTGTATCCAGCCAAACGCGTTCATCGTCCATCGGTCCCCAATCAGGGAGCTGAGAGGCTCCAACCGAGGCCAACTTCGAAGTAAAGGCGTTCATTCCTCTTGATCAAGTCATCGCTTGGCCAACCCGCCTCTTCTTCCATTCGCACCCCGAGCGCGAAAACAACGCTTGTCGCGGGAGTCGGTGGGCTGGCATGTGCAACACTTGGCCCAGCCATCCGAGCCTGCTGCGTGAAATAACGGTGCTGAGCGGTTGGCCTCTTCTTCCTACGCCATAAACAAGGCATCGAACACGCTCATCGCTAACACCGTGTTCCAACCGGATATGAGCCAAAGTGCAAAGACACCGGTGGTCGAACGTAACTAGCCTCTTTATGTCGGTTGAGCTAAGGGGTCAGGTTTCACAGCCGTAAAGCAAGGACGAACGTATGGCTGCATTGTATACTATATCATTCAAGGAGAGAGTGATTTCGACCGCTTGCTCTTTAAGAATATGGCTTTCATGAACGCCAATCAAACTGTGAAGAAGGACAGATGCAAACTAACTAGGGATAAGGGGGATAAAACGAATACCTCTATGGTTATCCCATTTCAAACATGAACACTCTTGAAAATGGGCAATATAACGAAGCAGCTCCAGATGGTTGCGACAGTTACTTGTTCCCAAAATATTACCAATAACTGCTGTAGAGGATTTACAGGAGCTAGTTCCCCGATTTTAATGAGAGATGGAGGAAGTTCATTTGATTTCGTGGTCTTAGCAATGTTAACAGTCAAGTCCGACGGTTGATCCAGAGAAGCCACCCAAGGAACAAAGCGATCATTAACCGACAACAATTCTGGTAATTCCAGCCGATTAAATTGCTCTTTAAAATGCTCAGTCCAACAAGTTAAGCATTTTTAACAGATTGTGGATAGACTATCGCATATAGTATCAGTGACGTCAGATCTCATACTGCCCGTTCCACGAATAAGACGGGATAACTCGATGAGTGTGAAGATCAGAGACCATTTCAGACTACCAGGCACGATGAGAGTACCAGGTTTCAAAGTCTATCTCCAAGCTAGCACACAACTTTGTTTTGAAAACTTCGCGAATCTCGTGTTCGCTTCTAGCCAGAATGTGTCGGCGTGCATCGAGAAATTCCATCGACTGCGAAGTTTCAATGATGACACTGGCTATCGGATTAGTCACATGAAGCCACACTCGCTGCTAACAACATCTGGCTAACACGCGGCTGTGTTCAGTCAGCGCTTACTCAACCCGGATACCAGTGTACTTTGATACGCAGTCAGATGATCTGATTTCACCAACTAGCAAGTGTCTATGCGCTAACACCGTCGTTTCAAGGGTCCTCCGAAGCGAACTTGGAGTCCACGTCCGTGATCAAAATCGAGCGACACATTTGAACGTATCCCCCTGCCGAACAGTAACTGATCGCAATGTGAACGATCTGGGTCCATGGGTGACACCTCGGAAGTTAGTGTTTGCACCTGCCCGCCGTTATTAGGGGAGCGTACACCGTGTTGATCGCCAAGATGCAGCCCATTATTGGACAATTTCCAACTTTAGAGTTAAGATCATAAGCCAGTATTACAGGATCGGTAATACTTTTGTGACGAAAGAGCCGGTTCAACTGATGACAAAAGTCATCTTTGTGGGGGCGTATGCAGCGATGACAAACAGGCACCGCGTATTCAAGAGTGACTTCGAACTTTTGAACGAGCAAGCCAATCTGACGCCGCACATCGGACTGCCGATTAGTGTCTAGTCGATCAGAGCGGCCTCAGCCAAAGTGCAGCGGAGTAATGCTCACACTAGCTTGACCGAAATTCGAAGGTCTGTTATCTGTGGATAAACGAAATGAGAAAATGGTGCCAGTAGCACACCAAGGGGATCGTAGAGTGAGCACACAGATCGAGCCTTGTAGACAGGTTTTGAATAAACAGCAGATAATGGTCGAGAAGGCCTCTAGTATCCGGGCAACTGCTGTTTGTTGACCAATCGGTAACTAAGTGCGCACGTTGAGGCATGCTAGTGTTGGCAAGGATCGAGGGCTCTAAATAGAAGGTATAAATAAAGTGTTCACTCTTGAAGCTATAACATGGCATGATAAGCAATTTGACAGATTGACAGTGGCATAGAGCAATAATGGTTTGCAGCGATTTCAAGAAATGCTTAAGATGAGCAGTCGGATACGCTGTAACACAGATATGAAGTGATCGGCGCAAAGTGAAAACATTCTTCGTTTTGCAAGTAAAAACATAACCAAAATTCAGCAATGGCGCACAATTTGTAGGTAGATCATTCATAAGGTTTCTTGCAGGAGAACACATATCAGAAATTTTCGGTGTTCTGCGTCACAGAGAGCGCAAAGTATGGCCATCGTTTTTGTTGTTGTTTATTACAGAAGGATTTACACAAGAATTGAGAGGTAAATGACATGGCCTCCAACAGATAGGGATAACAGCACTTCAGGATTAGTTCTAGTGTGTGAAAGTGTCAGGT